ATATTAACTGTGTATCTACTGAATCAAGCTGGATGACCCCAATCAGGGCATACCTCCAAGAAGGTGTGCTGCCAGATGACCCCCTAAAGGCCAGGAAGCTAAGGATAAGAGCCTCCAAGTTCGCCATCTTGCAGGACACTCTGTACAAGAAAGGCTATTCTTTGTCATTGTTGCGGTGCCTTTCACCCGAAGAAGCTCACTATGTCTTGCGGGAAATCCATGAAGGGATCTGTGGGAACCACTCTGGAGGGCGCTCCCTTGCCCATAAGACACTCAGGCAAGACTATTTCTGGCCTACCATGATAAGGGACGCCCAAGAGTTCTCCAAGAAGTGCAACAAGTGTCAACGCTTTACGACTGTGCCTAGGCAACCACCCGAGGAGCTAACAACCATTTCAAGTCCATGGCCCTTCTCCAAGTGGGGCATCGACATTCTGGGTCCCTTACCCCTCAGCAAAGGGCAGTGCAAGTTCGTGGTGGTGGCAGTCGACTATTTCACCAAGTGGTCAGAAGCTGAACCCTTAGCAAAAATCACAGACGCAAAGGTCAAAGATTTTATCTGGAAGAACCTGATCTGTCGCTTTGGGATTCCCCATGCCATTGTCAGCGACAACGCCAAGCAGTTCGACAACAAGCTGCTGAACTCCTTCTGTTATGACCTGCAGATAAAACAACCTCACTCCAGTCCGGCACACCCACAGGCAAATGGACAAACAGAGGTCATGGTAAGAATGGTTCTACGCAACTTAAAGACAAGGCTTGAAAAAGCAAAGGGCCTTTGGTTAGAGGAGCTACCAGATGTACTGTGGGCCTATCGAACCACGCCAAGAACCCCTACTAGGGAGACCCCTTTTTCCCTCGCCTTTAGAACTGAGGCGGTCATCCCTATGGAGATAGGGGTACACTCTCTAAGGGTCCAGTACCACGACCCCATCACCGACGAGGAAAGACTCCGCATCAACCTCGACTTGGTGGAGGAGGCAAGGGAGATGGCTGTACTCCGCAACGCGGAGTACAAACGGCGCATGGCAAGGTACTACAATTCGAGGGTGAAGCCTCGTTCTTTCCAACCAGGGGATTTGGTCCTCAAAAAAGTAATCCTCGCCACAAAGGATGCACGCGAAGGGAAGCTGGGACCAAATTGGGAAGGACCCTACCGCGTAACAGAAGTAGTGAGGCCAGACACCTACAAAATCCAAAATTCTGAGGGAAAAGTCTTACTCTATCCATGGAATGCAGAACACTTAAAGAGGTATTATCAATGACACCTTGAGAGTATCAAAGTAGTAGAAGTTGGGACTTGATTTGATTTTTAAGGGCGTTACCCAATATTCAATGTACTTTTTTGGGAATTATTACCCAATATTACTTTTTATAAGCAATAAATCAATAAAATTTTCTACGCTATTTACTCCAAAAAGATCTTTTACATTTCATTTCAAAGGAGTATCAGTACAAAAATAAGGTCAAATATCGTCTCTTCAAAAAAAAATAAAAAAATCAAAAGTCCTAAACACTCTAACTGCTCTCACGGTCGTCCTCCACCTCCTCCTCGTCATTATCAACATCATCAGATCCCCCCTCATCACTGTCGTCAGTGGGCACGAAACGTGAGAAGTCAATGCCAGGGAAAGCGGCAGAAACCTTCCCTCGGAGATCCTCGAAACCATCAATGAAAGCATCTGCGAGGCCATTCTCCAAGTCTTCCTCAGCACGGGAAACTCTCTCCCAAGCAACCTTCAACTTTGTCTCGGCAACAGCAGCCTCTCTGAGCATGGCCCCCCCATGGGCCTCTGCAAGCTCAGCCTCCCTGAGCACATTCCTCTCGCGGATCGCTAAAAGCTCAGCCTCAAGCTTAGTTGCCCTCTCATGGGCTATAGTAAGCTCACCATTCCTGAGCGCGTCCCTCGTACGAGTCGCCAAAAGCTCAGACTCAAAATTGGAAGCCCTTTCATGAGCCGCCACAAGCTCACCCTCCCGGAGCGCGTCCCTCTCACAGGTCGCCAAAAGCTCAGAATAAAGCTTGGCAATCCTCCCCTGAGCAGTAAGAAACTCCCTTTGCACAAGGCTCAGATCCAACTTCAGCTTGTCATGATTATAGGCCCTCGAAAGCAAGCAGATAGAGGAAGTCGAAACCTAAAAAAAAAAAAAGAGATAAGAGGTTGAGAAAAGTAAAGAATACAGGAAAGAAACGACTAGAGAAAGGGGAATAGTGGACTCTCACCTGAGTCAGGCCTTCCAAATACGCATCAATGATCCTATCGGTACCTGAAGCGCTAAGCTGAGAAACTTCGGGTCCAAACACAAACCTCCCAAGTCTTGCCCTGATGGCTGGCGGACTCCCCATCATAGGACCAGCCAAAATCGGCACTTCTGTAGAAGTTCTCGCACGAGGAGGGGCAACACGAGGAGAAGATGAAGGTGGGGAGGATGTGCCTGGCAAGGAAGATTCTGGAGTAGCAACTGGAGAAGTCACCAGCTGAGGAGGAACCACCGTAGGAGTCACTTGGGGGGCATCATCTGTCCTTGCCACTTTGGAAGAGGGAGGGCTCCTACTAGAGAAACGGGACACCACCACCCTCTTACTTACTGCAAGAGCAGAGAAGTTTCAGGTAAATGGAAAATACCGAGGGAAGAAGAGAATTAAAAGAGGAAACTAGCTTACCCCTTTTCTTCGAAGAGGAACCACCGAATTTCTCAGAGGGAGCAACGACCCTAGTATCCTTGGGTAGGAGAGCTCCCAAATCTTTGCAAGGGCAAGCCTTGACAGCCTCCAACTTTCACTTCTGGTCTCGAGAAAGTACAGTCGTGTCTGCATAGAAATGGGGTTTCGCTCAAATTGTATGCTGCATGGAACTCCATAGGAGAAGCATCCTCATGGTGCACTTTTCTCCACAATGCAAGAAAGCCCAGCAGAACTCTCCAACCATTGGGCACTAGTCGCTCCGGAGTCAAGGGAAAATAGTGCAAAACACGACAAATGGGAAAGGACATGGGCAATCTTAACCCAGCCTCAAGCATCTCCTCGTAAACAACAATATCACCAGAAGAGTCATCGCAAGCAAGCTCGCCCAACTCAGCCCGACGGCACAGCACGGTCGGAGGAATGCGATAAGTAAAAACAAGCCTCGAGATATCTTTATCTAAACGGAACAGACTAAAAAGGGTACTCACCTTCGACCCATCATCATCGAGTCCCACTTTGCCTTTACGTTTCTTCTTCCAGGGCCGTAAGGAGTAGTCTAAATCATCCTTTGGGAAGTCCTGAGGAACTTGAATCGGAGGAGTCACATTAGGGTCTTGATTATCAAAAGCAGCACCCAAAGCTTTCTTACTGCTTGCAATGTCTAGCCCAACACTTGGAAGGGTGTCTGACTGCCTTTGCTCTCCAAAACGGAGTTGCCCAGTAGCTGGAAGGGTGCCTGACCCTTCAAAATTGCACAAAATAGAATTTTTGGCACCAAAATCAGCGCCTGGAGTGGCGCTCAAATCTGTCCATGCTCCCATGCCGCTGCCCAGCTCTCCCTGCTGCACCTTGGACTGATTTCCAGCACTTTTTGCTGAAGAAATGTTGTTGCCCAGCACTCGAACGCTACCCAGAACAACAGAATTTGTGCTGCCCAGCGCGGTTGAGCTGTCCAGGACAGCAGAAACAGCATCCAAGCAGCTGCCCAGCGCACCTGGGCTGTCCAGGATAGCAAAACCAGCGCCCAGGCAGCTGCCCAGCGTGCCTGGGCTGTCCAGGATAGAAAAATCAGCGCTCAGGCAACTGCCCAGCGTGCCAGAACTGCCCAGTTCGCCAGACTGCGCGCACACTGCTCAGTTGCACGCTTGCGCTGTCCAGACTTCCTTGTGCGCTGTCCAGACCTCCTTGCGCGCTTCCCAGACCGCCTCTCTGCGCTCTGATTCGCGCGAATGTGCTGTCCAGTGGAGAGATTTGCGAAACTAAGCTGTCCAACCCACCACCTTCAGCACCTAGGTTGTCCAGTCCACCATTTTCGGCATCAAGGCTGTCCAGGACAGCACTCGAATGGTCAAAGCCAGCCTCCAAGTTTCCTAAAATGGTGTCTACCTCCTCCCTTTCTTCAATCTCCACCATTCCCTCTTCAATCGGCATTGCCCACTTGAGAAACTCTATTAGAAAGGAAGAAATCTCACTCTTGGAAGAATTCAAGAAGAATATATTTTTCCCTCTCAAAGCTTCAACAAAATGGGTAGGATGGAGAAGAAGACTATATTTATAGTCTAGGGTTTTAAAAAAAAAATGAAAAAAGCCCAAATTGAAGATTATGGACCCTCTTCAAAATAAAGTGGGAAAAGTTTGGAGTTTGCACCTAAGCCAAAAATATACAAATGAAGAGTCAATGCCTCCTTCTCCAAGCTTTCCTTGAACACGAGGCATTGGGGGGCAAATGATGGGTCGAGCCCAAAATGGCTCAATCTATGTGCAAAGTCCAAATCTCAATTAAGAAGCCCTACCTCATTTAAAGATCCACCAAACCCAACATAGTCCAAGACCAAGTTAGACTCTTTGCTTAGCCACGTCATCAAGGGGAGAACATTGGAAGCCTTATCTGCACCACCGAAGGAAACGGTCCACCCTCACCCAATCTTTGACCGCGTCTCATGGAGAGCTCCTCAACCACCTCGCCCGTTGAGAAGAGATTGAAGCTCCACCGAAATGGTTGCTTAGTCGCTGGAAAGTAGTCCCAACCTGTTAGGGAGCCACTATAAATTGCACACTCTATCAACACTTAGGAGAGGACTGATTGCTTGGCACCACACCTTTCCTGACTCTCTCTTTTCGCTTGAAGCTTGTATTCTCTGTCTCCACACCCTTAAAATAATAAAATCCCCTACAACGAAAGTCATTCAAGAGTGGACGTAGGTCGAGTTGACCGAACCACTATAAATCTTGTCTCCTCCAATTCACTCTTTATTTTTACTGCATTTATTATTTACACTTGACAGGTGATGTTCAAAACTATTTTTCGGCATCATCACTTCTCTTCCTTGACTTCTGTAGAATTAGGTTTTCCAGCTGCATCGTCTTTGATAGGCACAGGATCGTCGGACTTCCCTTCCTTGACTTCTGTAGGATAAGCTTTTGAAGAGCCGGAGAGATTACCAACTGCATCGTCTTTGATAGGCACAGGATCAGCAGAAATCTCTTCCTTGACGTTTGTTGAACAATCTTCTGAGGAGCGAAGACGTTTCTTACTCGCCATGTGATTTTTAGCCTTCTGCTACCTTAGCACATGTTGAGGAATAAGGAGATATTCTATATATAAACACACAGAGAGAGACCCCTTACTATGAACCCTGTTGAAGTGTTCTTGTTCTTCAACCAGAGGGAATGCATGCATCTCCTAATACGTTTTTTGACATTCTCCAGAATCCCATTTATGAGACCTTCTCTCTTCCCCCATGTTATATTAATTACATGTATTTGCTTTTCTAAGTAAATGTCAAATAAATAATTTTTGAGGCTCATTTAAAAGTTTTAGCTTCATTTATAATTTTTATAGTTCAAGTTACAAATTTTAATGACGGATCGCAACCAAACCTCAAAAGTTGTAAATGACTCACAAAAATTGTCACTCGAACTATAAACGTAGTAATATGAACCCCAAAAGTTGTACATTTTTTTTTTTTGGTAAATAAACTTCAAAACTTGTATTTCAACCCGCAAAACTTATAAAATTTAGCGATACAAAACCAATTTTTCTTTGGTATTGTAGTCTTCTCCTATATATCACAGGCTCTGGATTGTGCTTCTCCAATCATTGATTATAGGCCTATTAGTTCCATCTGCATCCCCCTTTTTGAGGAAGCCTAATTCATTAATTTCTAGCTTTACATCAAGAAAACTTATGTGCTGATGAACTAGCAAATTTTGGACATGGGGAGAGAGACAAAATGCAGAGCCTGTGATGCTAGAAGAACCACCAGATAAAAGATCAAATCTCTACCTTATTCCGATGTGACACCAACACTATTTTTGTATGAGCCAGTGACTCTTTTTCTACTCCATGGCACGCAAGACATATTGATTTCTTACTTTATTGTGAAGACGGGCAAATCTGACTACATCTTCGTAGTAAAATAAATATAGCACCAGTTATATGGATTGATAATGTAGATTACTTAGTTAGCCATCCTTGATTCTCTCAAGCTTTCTAAAGAGACGGTCATTTGACAAGTGTTGTTTTCTTATGTTCCTTCTTTTTAAGTTTTTGTAAGAGCCCAATTTTTAAGCTTATTTTCCCCCATCAATGGGAGGTTTTCTCTCAACTATAGATGCCTTGTTCTAGAATTGTTAATTATACTAGTGTAACCTTGAAGACGGTGTAACCTAAATCAATGTATATAATTTTGAAAAGAAAATTAATGACTATTGAATGACACTACTTAAAACCGTCAAATGAACTTATTATAATCTGTCTGTCGTGTCATATCATTGAAATACATAATAATTTTTTGCCTACCCATATCATTGAAATACAAAAGACAATTTAGAGTATCTAGCAAAAGAGGTTCCAATATACTTTCCCTTTTTCCAAGTAGATGAGGTAACATCTGGAATCACTTGAAAAAGGTTTACTAGCTAGGTACTCAACAAAAGAAGGAACAACATTGAGTACCAAGATAGTAACCATTTTTTAACAAAAGAAGTAACAACGTTGGCTCCAAAAACATAAAAAACTAAAGGAACAACATTGGCTTTCAGAGCCTGATATATAAACAGTGTTTCCAAAGCAGCAACAATCCTCTATTTCAAGCGAACTCTTTCACATCAGACATCACATGAATTTGCACTTCAACAACCAGACTATCTAGTACTGTGAAGCCCTTCGTTGTGTCATGGACGTCTGTAAGAGAAATTGCATCAAAACCCGAGGATTTGTGCAGGTCACAGAACCAACTACCACCTGTGAGAAAAGTAAAAGGAAATTTTTAGAGGAACTGAACAATCAAAATTTAACAGGAAAATTGTGACAAATCAATTTCCCCAGTTCATCAGCTGTACTAGAGAATCTGTAAAAATAACAAATGTTAGAGATGCAGTGCAAGGGTTCACCTTTTATTTCAGAGTGTTTGCCATTAACTCTGTCTTTCACCCACAAGCTAAATTCTGCAAATAATTTTCGCTTAGTTGGAAGGGATTCACAATCAGCTAAATTTAGAAAGACAGATAAGCTTTTGCCCTCTTCACTGCCGTTTCCTTTGGGATAAACAAGTATCTTCCTAGATCAGTAAAGAGGAGGCACATAAGACACAATTCCATCTAGTTATGGTACATACAGAATCAGAATTAAGTGAGGAAATCCTAGGGCTCAAACCATTTTTGCTTTCCAATGGTGAATGGTTCAGAGAACAACTGGTCATGATCTTTCACTTCTGAAAAGTTTTTGATCTCCCAAATGTAGCTGTTGTCAGAAGTTTCCTCCTTCAAAGAAAGACACTCTCCTCTGCCAGTAGATTTAATGACATAAACCTCAGCTCCAAACATACAGGAGTCATCAATAAGGTATCCATTAGAAGCCTCATTGAAAGTATCAAGGGAAAGTAATTTGGCAAAACCAAATTCAGTCTTAAACCTGTGGAAATGTTTTACACTCCCATCGGCATCTACATACATGATAGATGCCGGTTATGCACATTAACAATTGTAGTTATACTCTCTATGACAATTTCAACAGAGTTATAATTACTACAAGTAAAGAATGTGCATTTTGAGAAATGTTACATTGGATGGTAAGGTACTTGTCTTGGACATGATCATAGACAAACAAGTCAAGTTTGACATTAACCTCCCAACCAAGAGGTAATGTATCTGTCTCCGATATTGCCAAGTATAGAGAGATGTGTCCTTTCCCATTTTCCTTCTCAAATCCATTCGGGTACAGACACAATTTCCTGCAAACAAGGCAAACTTTATAATGAGAACTTATGCTGGATTTTGAAAAGCAAGACAACATCCCCCAAGAATAAAGAAAGGGTTCCTATTTCAACTCACCATTTGTAGCCACCTGATTCAAAGTCACCCGATTCAAATCTTGTCTTGTCTCACTCAGAAAGCAATGAGAACGATTTGATTTGAAATAGATAGTCAACTGGTGTAACCCCTCTCAGTGTTCTTAAAATTATTGCACACAATCAACAAGGTCCCTACTTGCTACATATTTACATAAACTTGATTGTAGATAACATCTTCTACAACACCATAATAGAATAACACAAGGGACTAATTCGTATTAATTTTCCTTTATTTTATTTTTGTGAGCCTAAGCTATAGGAATGACTATAAATGTCCAGAGATCTTTAATTTCAAACCCAACAAAAAAAAAACAGAGACAGAGAGATTACCAACTGGCTCGTCTTTGATAGGCACAGGATCGCCGGACTTCTCTTTCTTGACTTTTGTAGAACAAGCTTTTGAGGAACGAGCACGTTTATTACTCGTCATGTGGTTTATGCCATCTGCTACAGACCCTTTTTTTTGGGAAAGTACCAACCTTTTACATGTTGAGGAATATAATATTATATATATATATACACTAGCGATAACTCGTGACTGAAGGCACTATACAATTCAAAAAAAATAAAAAAGTGATCATTCATACGAAAAAATTAAACATTGGACATGGACACGCATTAAGCAAGCAGCCTAAACTGAATCCTTAACACACCCACATTTCACATACATGCTCAACAAAATAGTACTTATATGAGGATTCTGGTGAAAACAATTTCAATGAAGAGATAAATAAAAGTCAACTTTAATAATCAAGGTCCCCAAAAAATATACTGAAACCGCATAAAATTCATATATTTGAAACTGCATACCAAATTAGAACTAACAATAGCGTCCATAAATATTTACTCAAAAGTAGACTTACAAGAATTTGCAAACTTATGTCATTAGAAGAAACTTCAGTTAGTGCCGTTAGGTGCTATGTTATACTACACCAAAAATCGCCAATATTTAATCAAAACAATATTTCTTTATACTTATAAAAAATTTAGACCAAATTTTCCCTAAAAGCAGGACCTCAATAAAATATATCTTTATGGACAAAACAATCTATAAAATGCTAAATACACATTCCACCATCTATAAAATGCTAAGTAAACAAATAAACTATGAACCCCACATGACATGCCTCTAGTTTAATTGAGTCAATCCAATCAAGTTTTGTTGCATGTTCTAAAAATCAAGGCCCAAAAATCAATGTGTTGCCTATTCAAAGAACCAAATAAAATAAATGTGATTAAAACATAAACAACATGTCTCTTTTATGAATCTTAAGCACATGAAAACTATTGTTCCTACATGAACAACAAACCATAACAAATGCACCAAATGAATAATCGAAACAATGACGGACCAAACATAAAATTGTGTAGTACAACCATTTTATCAAAAAAATTAGAAACAATTCATAAATTTTTTCAGTCCCAGACAACTTCAATTACACAACATAACGAAATAAACTACATGTATCACGAAAAAAAAAACTATGAATTGACTAAAATAATCCTCGTTTAAAGATTATAAATCAAGCAATCCACAAATTTCAATAGCACACAGTACCTAAACAACAAAAAAAAAAGTCTATCAAGTATTCATCACAAAACACACAAAAGAAAACGCAAACAAATATTGTAAATAATACACCACTTTAATAGAAAACGTACCCGAGTCTACATGCAAATATTTTTCATTCAAGAAAAGAAAACACAAACCAAAGCTAGAAAAACACAAAGGGAACAGAAAATACATTTCAAAGTTAAACCTAATTGTTTGGCAGTGGAGGTGTCTTGAATCTAAGTTTTTCCCAACTCTAGAGCAATCTTCACACTTGTTTTCTAAGTAAATTTCCTTTTCCCCATCCTTCTAAACAATTTTAGAGTGATCTAGGGTCCATTCCTCCTGAAATTGTTTAAATAACCAAATAGCAACTTAATTGTGATGGACCGGAACCTGAAGGCACTGTTTAACACAAAAATTGACATTTAGAAAAAATGAGAAAAATCATTCATCAATCTGAGCCAATTGTTTTTTAAACAAATTTCGACCAAATTTTCCATAAAGGCAGGATTCCCAAAAAAAAAATACCAACCTATGTAGATAGATACTCAATAAAAAAATCAAAATTAAAGAGGATTGCCCAATCGATGGGGGGTATTTTTTTCGCCACAATTTATATCAAAACAAAAATTGAACACCCATTCAATAATAACAAAAAAGACATTATAATAACTAAATGACAACTCGGCTAAGCAAGGACATGCAACACATAAAATTCCTCCCAAAAATTCATCTACCACAATGGAAGGAAAAAAATGAGACCTCTTACAAAAAGTTACATGATTTCATGTCTAAAGGCAAAATATCCAAAACAACCACTAAAAACAAATTGCACCAAATATTATTCAGAACCAGGGTTACCTGGATCGTAGGTCTATTGGGTACGTGGTACGGGTACAGGTGCGGGGTACGTTACTTTTTGCGGCACGTGGTGCGGTGGGAATAGGCTTAGTTGGTACGCTATTTTGGGTCGCGGTTTGCTTTGAACTATTATTCGGATCGTTTTCATTATTACAAAGAATTATATAAATATATACATTATAAAATAAAAATCAAGACCAATAACAACAACACATCAACTAATAATCATGTATAAAAAAGTAATGATTGCATATTTTATTATAAATAAAAGACAACATATAAATTTAAAAAATAATGTACTAGAGAACGATTAAATAGCTTCCTACTTGAAGCACAAATCAAAATAACATTCTTATTCAAATAAAAATTATTTAATAATAAGAAAAAATTGGAGTACATGAGTTAATTGTCAACTATTTTCCCTTTATCTTTCACAGTGTTCCCTCCTCTTGCATAGTTACTAATTTGAGTCTGATGCAGTCCAGAATGACGAAACGATGGCCTGCTAGAACTAGTAGGTTACTTGTCAATAGAGACGGACATAGAAGCATGTAAGAATGAAGCTTCCCGATCTTCGTCTCCAGCAATGGTAGAACTATTTGTATTGTCATTCTTCAAAGATTTTAATCGCAAATCCTTCAATCTCACACTAGAATCATCTATATATGTGTGCTCTGGATTTACATCTCATTTCTTAAAAGGGCCATCTTTGTAACTTTCACTGAAATGTGATTGGAGACGAATATTTGAATGGATGAAAACCAATTTGTCAGCCCTGGTAGAATTCAATCTGTTTCCAATTTCTTTCAGCTGAAGAACTTGTAATTGATTGTGATAAAACCTTTTATGAAAAAAATAATAAGACATTAATAATGATAATTAACAATAAGAATAAATAACTTGTAATTTAAATTAGTACCTTTTTTTGCCACTTCTGCTAATTCTAGAGTTTCTGAACCATATGTCGACCACCAATCAATAGCATCCATAGTCACAGCATTTGTTTGAGCCGCCGCCATAGCATAAAGACCCTTTCGTGAGTGAAAATGTGCATACTGTTCTCTCAATTGTTTTGCTTCTTCTACATCTTCAGCTATCTTTTCAAAATCTTCTATAACACTTATGATGACCTCTCTATCTTGATTTAGAGTTTTTCTAACTGTACCTCCCGGTGCTAGCTTAGTAAGATATTGGGTATCATAAAATCGTGGTGTTAGTGTAAACCCAAGACAATGCAAAAGAATATTCATCTTCTCCCATCTGTCAAGCACAATTTTTTCAATCTGAAAAAATTTATCAACATATTTTCCACCCCTCATAATATCTTTTATTTCACCAAGCATGTTGTCCATCTTCTCATAAATCTCACCCAATTTTTGACCTTCTCCGTCACAAAATTTAATAAGAAAAAATATATGCTTTGTGATACTTATGATATTCTCCACATCCTCCCAAAATTCTTCACTAATAACAGTTTCTGTAACCAAAGCACCTAACTTTCTTGTGTGTTCATCCCCAGATTTCACCAATTTTTTACATGACTTAAGAACAATGGTAGTTACAAGGGACTCTCTACAGTCAACAAGTCACTTCAACAAAATATAATGCGATGCACACCTGGTCTTAGCCACTTTTAATAGCTCCAATTTAGATTGAGCTCTAAACATAGCCAAAGCATGTGTATAGTTCAAGAAATATTTAACAATAGACTTTCCCCTTCTATAAGTATTTCTAAATCACTCAAATTCCTTTGCAAAGTCTTTAAAAATTAAATTTAGAGTATGAACAACACAAGGAGACCAAAATATATGTTTGTGTACCTTTTGAACCTCTTTCCCTGCAAGTTTGCAATTTGCGGCGTTATCCGTCACTACTTGAATGACATTTAGTGGACCTACTTCTTCAATGGCTTTCAACAAAAAATCAGCAATTGCTTTACCTGTTTTCTCTATCCCTGAAAAATCCTCAGTATATAAAAACATAGCTCCACGACTATTTGCAACAATGATATTAATAAGTGGTTGATGTTTCACATTAGTCCACCCATCTAATACAATGGATACTCCATTAGAATACCATGTATCTTTAATAGAAATTAAATATTTTTCAACACTTCTTTTGCATTCATCCAATAATGTAGTTCTTGCTTTTTTATAGCTAGGAGTCTTGTAACCTTTAGGTCCTCTATTATAGTTGAAATCATCTCATTGAATTGAGGATTTCTCAACACATTGAATGGAATTCCATTAGCACATAATCCCCTCATGACCTTCAAGTCAATCATGTCTCAATCCATTATTTTGAATACATCTTCAGTTGATCCCGTCGTCGGTGAAGGTTGCCTCTTCATCAATATTGAATTTTTCAGGGATGAAGAAACTCCTATTTTTTCTACCTTTTGTACTCTTTCTCGCAATTTTGCATATTCAGTTAAATTATTCATCAAAACTTGACACCGTTTAATTTTTGTTTTTTTCTCGGGTGGGTCACCAAAAAAATGATAATGCATTCGAGTATAGGAACTTGTAAATTTACCACCGCAATGCTTACAAGACCAACTCTTTGATCCCCCTGAATTTTTTCCTTGAGCTGCACCAATAAGATTGACCTCATTGAGTAGTGGTTTCAATTTTGCATCAACTTGTAATTGATTTTCTTGTGTACAATTTTTTTGTGGTTGCCTAGTGTTAACTTCTTCCGTTATTTCAATATGTTCAACTTCTTGTTCATCAGCAGAATCATCTAAATTTTAAATATTAATTTCGAATTATTCTTTAACCTGAGAAGAATCTTGTTCTTCCCACCTTTTACCAAAAACCATTGTTTTTAAACAACAAAAATTCAATTCAGAAGAATGAATAAGGAGCAAACAGAAAGATAGAGAAAAAGAGAGAGAGAGGCGGTAGAGAATAGGGTAAAAATCTGGAAAAAATATATATATATATATGGTTGTCAGGCTAGGTATAAAAACTAGGAGTCTTTAAATAAGTGCCTAATTGGTAGGTAATAGTATT